TAGCTTTATGCTGCCTCGCAATTTCATTTGACGCCCTGACGCGTCTCTCACTATCTCGTTCCCAATGTCCCGTAACTTCCTGGTTAGGTCCTGCCTCGTGGCGTGCTCGATAGCCTGAAGGGTCCTGGGTTTTATCAGTGACACCATGGCTCCGCTATCTATTTATGCCGTCAACGGCACTCCCTTACAGGACACTTTCACCACCAACTTCCTACCAACTCGCATATTTTCGGGATTGGGCTGATTATCTTCCGCCACATTCTCCATCTGTAGCATAATTGGGGAGGCACTCATGACTCCCTTCTTTCTTCTGGAGGCGGCTAGTCGGTGTACCGGCGCCATTGGACAAACCCGTGCCATTTTCCTTACCTCTGCACACGAAGCACGTGATATCCTTCCCCCTCGGCGCTGTTGCCAAATCTTCATGTGACTTTACTACTAGTTTATCATTCCTGTATCCACTGAAGTTGGACTTCAGACTCTTACCAGCTCTCTCATATCTTGAAGCGAGGCTTTTTACAGGGCTGTTGCGCTCTTTCACCCCTGCCTTATCACTGCCTCGCCACACCTTACTCTTTGGCGTTACGGTTCCCCGATTTTCATCACAGGCTAGGCTCCTTCTAGCCCTTCCATATTCTAAAGCCACATCTTTTACTGTGCTATACAGTTTACCCTCTTTGGCCTGGGATATGGCTGTTAAAAGACGTGTTGTGAGCTCTCCGTAACATTTTAACGCCTGTATAACTACCCCGCATTTCTTTTCATCCATCACGTTTGGATTTACGTACATGGTACTCGGGTACGCAGCCGCTACTTTCTTGTCCACCAGGGCTAAGAATTCTACCAGAGGCTGTCCAATTACGCCGCTCTATTTTACTTAACTGATTCTGCAAAATTAACCTGGTGACTTGGGACGTATCTACCAGCGCCTTTTTTAATGCAGATACTACTTCTGCGAAAGTCCCCTCTTCTCAGATGTGTACGAGGATCCCTAGGAATGCATCCAGTGCTAATACTGTTAAGTAGGACCGCAAGTACTGTACTTTCGTCCCATCCGATTCGTACCCATGCGGAGACTGAATTCCTGAATGAAATCTTGGGATTTAGCCTCAGTCCTGTTCTCCTTCCCAGAGAACTTCTTTAAGGCCGGAAGCTGTGTCTGCATCCGCTGCGTACACCGCAGCAGGAGTTGCTCAAACGCAGCGCTTACACCCTCGGCATTGCTTTGTTGAGCTGTGCCGCTAGCACTTACGCCTAAAGGCATGTCACTTGAAGGCAATGACTCACGTGATTGACGTGCCTGTTGAGCCTGTCGTTCCAATACGACCGGACGCCGGTTGTTCGGGCTGCTTCTCCTTGGCTGCTGTCGGTTTCTCCGTGTTTCGTCCTGCAACTCAACACTGTTAGCCAAATGCAGCCTTTCCCTACTTCTAAAAATTCTTTCACCTGTCTTTGGCTGTTCGGCGCTTGTATCGTTGTCTCCTTCGGGGTCCTCTGCCAGCAATTTCTCAGTCTGCAATTGAAGCTGGTTATTTACCTCTTTCAACTTCCTTACCTCTTGCTGGGTTCCCCGCAAGGCTTTTTGCAGCTCATCCACCCGGGCTTGCGCCTCAGCCGCGGCCGCGCTGCTCTCGCGAAGCAAGCGCGTCACCACTTTGGGCGACTTATATCCTGTCGCCTCCCACTTCTACGCGTCATACAGCTTCCTCCACAGCTGTGACACAGATTCTGCGCCAAACTGCTGGACCACAGCAGTCAGCTCGTCACTGATTTTCCCTAAAGCTCCTCCTGTTCTGGTCTGTTGCAAGTCCAGCAAGACCTTAGCGGCCTCCCGCTGCTTTTCTTGCCAGGCAGCTTCTGCGGCCTCCTAAGGCTGGAAGCACTCTTCTACTGCTGTTGTGGCACTCCGGGTGGCCACCACCCCTTCCATCACTCGCGCCTGGACCTCTTCTAGGTCCTCACTAACTTCGTTTACGCTCCCCTCACTGAGCCAATCTATTGCCCATTCTACCTTACCCCAAAATTCCTCCGAAAACCCACTTACCTCTTTGCAGTCGAAGCTCCCGCTGTTCACGGCGAATGGGGCTCCATCCCACGCCGGTCGCTGTATCGCGAGCTCCCTCGCGAGCCTTCGCAATTCATCCCCATTGCCTGTTGCACGGGCCTCAGTGCAACTGCTCATCTCGTGCTAGCAGCTCAGTGCTGCTCTGCCTTTCTGGCTTTTTCTTGCGCGTTCCGCTGGGCTCTCTGCGCTTTTACTGCTTTTTTCCGCTTTTTTCCTTCAGCTGGTTTGTCTTAAAATCGCAATCCAACTGGCTCAGCCCC